GTGCCGCTCAACATTCAACCTGCTTTAATCTGTACTAGTATTCAGTTTGTACCTCATCTAGCACACTGCCTAAAATTGTCACTATTCTTTCAATGAAATTAGTAGAATTACCTTGTGATTCCTCTGTTTGCTTCACATTATGGTTGCTCTACTGCTAGTGTCTTACTAGCTTGTTTTGACTCATCGTGTTCCCGCTTGTAGTTGATTTTCCATGTGCCTAAGTATATGGGTAGTAAACGTGCAAGCAAACATTTGAGCTCAAACCCATCCATGCTATGTACTATACTATACTGAAGAAGTAATGTAGATGAATATATATGCAGTTTTTGAAACCATCCTCTAATCTTTGCTTGTTTTTACAGTTTGGTGCTACAGTTTAAACCATCACCTAATCTGTGCCTTATCTAGAAATTTTGGCATGAAATTAAATCTGGCTGCTTGTTTACATTCAAAGTCCATATATATGATGCTGAAATAAATGAACACCATATATAGAGCACTAGTACTAATTTATGTTCTATATATAGTGGCCGTTCAAACTTGTGAAATATATAGAGAACACCATATGATCTGATGCGTGCTCTCTTGCTTGGTGTGTGTGCAGTTTGGTACCATCCCGTGGGGAGGGCCAGGGACAAGCTGCTCCGATCCGGCGAGGATGCCCACCATCTATTGTTAAGGTGATCTCTCTCTCTCTGCATATATATATACATATCCTGTTATGATGATTCTCAGCCCCGCCCCGCCTTTAAGCTATGCATTCAGAAGAAACATTCTATAGTAAAGTATGGGGTTGTTGATTAAACTGCTGCTGTGTTCACTTCAATGAGAAAAGGTGTAGTTAATTCAGGTTGTGAACATTTCTTAGGAGTTATATTAAGACACATACTGTATGAGAAAAACTGCTGCTGTTGTGTTCACTTCAATGAGAAAAACTGTTGCTGTTGTGTTCACTTCAATGAGAAAAACTGTTGCTGCGTTCACTTCAATGAGAAAAACTGCTGCTTTGTGCACTTCAACTGAGTTACTCCTTTTTTGAATGGAATGTTCATAATATATTGCCTCCAGTTTTTCTAATTTTCATCAGCTAATTCATGTAACAGGGCATCCGTGGAAGGCCCAGTCCTGACTCTCCAGTGAGCCGGCATTTGATCGCTATTGAAGGAGCTACATGTAGAAGAAGAAAATACTTGTAGAGCTTGTAACTGATTCTCATAGTTGTAGAGCTTGTATCAGCTAAGCTTGTATTACGTGTAACTTGTAGAACTTGTAAATGCTACAGCTTGTAGGACTTGTCATTTGTAGAGCTTGTAAATAAGCTTGTGTATGCTACAGCTTGTAGGACGTGTCATTTGTAGAGCTTGTATTGAATCTGGCTATTGTTATTTGAAGTATCTTGTGTGTTTTTCCTTGCCAATTTAACTACTAGTTATTTTCTTATTGTCAAATTGAAATATGAAGAATCTGGGCCTAATAGCTAGGACCCACTTATCAGAACCTGACAAGTGGGATCTGTTTGACTAGTGGACCCATTTTATAAAAAAAACTAAAACTGTTGTACAAAAAGGCCATGACCCATAAAATAAAAAGGCCAAATTGTTGGGCTAGGCCCATGTAGCTAGAGAAAATTAATAGAGAAAATATACAGTAAAAAGGCCGAATTGTTGGGCTCGGCCCATGTAGAAAATCGAATTGGACCAGGCTGAATCTTGTGCCACATCAGCTTGCCACGCTGGATGCCTACATGGCCTGGGGGAGGTTGCTAGTGACCAAAACGCCACAGTAGGAATATTTTGGTCGTAAACGTCTTTAACCATTCCAGAAGAAATGTCGCTATAGTCAGTTTACGATGGACAGCTTTTGACCTTCTGTTTTTGGTCACAAAAAGGTCATAAATGGAAATTTGTGACCTTTCAGTGACCAATAGTGGTGGTCATAAGTTGACATATTTCTTGTAGTGAGGAGATAAGTAATTAAGTGACAAGTAGATAAGGAAGCTCTGATCTTGTAAGAAATTCTATCCAGGTGAGGAGATTAGTTAAAGGCCATAGAGATTATATGCACGCTAGCTGGCATCAAACTATCAATTAAACAAAACAAAACAAAAACAAGACAAGTGCAAGCTCTTATTCTGCTTAGCCCGAAGAAACGGAAGTCTGACACTATTTCATCAAAGCATGCCACATTTTTAATATTTTGAAAATATTTAAGTAAAAGTATTGTTTTTGGTTGTTTTTCTACACACTATTACGAACCTCGAACTACTACAACATAATATTGATCACACAAGACATGGACACAAATTTGTGGATTCCCTTAACGAGCCAAGAATCCTAATCACGGGGTTCTGGAAAATCATTTCCTAATAGTTTTTTCTTGTATTTAATGAATTAATCAAAAGCGTTGGTAAGATTCAAATCACAACCATCAATCAAACGAAACCGAGGCAAACAAAAACATAGCACTGTACCAAAAATGTGTAGAAGAGAGCTTGAAAAGGATGGTTCAAAGCTGACAAGTGGCATCATTTGAACCAAAGTGCTTTTAAAAGTGGTAGGTCTAGATAGGATCACCTTACACCACAAGGGTCTTCCTGGTGGTGTTGTCGAGCGCCTTGGTGGGCACCTAATTGGGACCTTCACCAATAGCTGCATGTCCTTGGCTCCCTTCACGACACCAACTGGTGACTGCCGATCACCTCAACCTCTCGATGATCTGCTTGACGACATTCGCAAAGCAGATGAGGTCAATGACTCTCTTGGGTACCCGCATCTCGAAACTATTCCAGGTACTGGTTCCTAATTAGCAAGCTAGAAAGCGTTGTTAGAGAAAGTTCTTTTTATGATAGTTGCCTTCAGCGGAAGCACAGAAACAGATAACTGATTTGTGAAAGCTTCAACGTCTATTTCAAAAAGTGTGATTTTGGCACATATACCAATAGAACCATATTGAATCGTCATTTTCTCGGCACATCACCTAAGTACAAACAACTTTATTTTAGGTTAATCAAGTGGTAAATGACTAACTATGAGTAATCTATTAATAGCTTATAGTGAAAATCATAGGCAGTCGCAGATAAAATTGTGCAAGTATATCATAAACATTCAGAGACTACAGTGGAGCAAGCCACTTGCACTGACCACTAGTGTTTTAAAGAAGCAAAAAATAGACTGGCTAACCATCGGTTTTAGAACCTCGTCCTAGGAATAACTTAGTTTAGCATCATCAGGGTTGATTAAAGACATCCACAAGCAGCAAATGAAGGAACTTTCAAGTTGGAAACTCGCAACCCTCCCTTTCTCTTTAGGCAAGCCGCAGGCAAAAAGACGGTAGCAGCTCCAACAGTTGTTCAATGCTCAATTTTTTTGAAGGAAAAAAATGCTTATATGATTGGCATATAACACAAAAATAATATATGTACAGTATATGCTGCAACATAACTTTTGAATCAAACACATGAATCCTACTACGAACACGGTTTGCATAAACAGGGAGGGTAATGGTGCTCACCTGTACAACTAGCAGCCCGGTTGCGGTGGCACGACAGAGGAAGAAAGTGGCCTGTACTGGTTGATAACAAGCAGGGTGATGATGCCCATAGCATCATGCCAATCCATTGATGACACAATTACCCAAGCCAAAGAGCCCAATCCTGAATTGTAAGCAAAGCATAGCATCAAAATTATCAAGGACGAATACTATTGAATACTCTTACGTTTCAGAAACATATCTTGGTCTATACCTCATAATCCCTTGGTTACATACTGTTCCCTTGCTCGTAGAGCCAACTGCTTCACCTCATCGGCAATAGTAGCAAAGCATCAACGACAACACACACACATACACTTGGTAATTTTCCTGTAAGATAGCTCACATGAGATGCATGTATCAAATAAGTGTTAACTACACAGAGCAAGACAAGGCACATGACATTTTTCAGACAAATAAAGGATAAGATCAGTGTAGTGTCTCTTCTTGTCATAAAACTAAAGGATAAGATCAGTGCAGTATAGGCAGGGCAGGAGCAGGTACAATACAAATCGCGCAGGTAAATGGTATCCAACAGAGGTAGAGAGTGGTCACCTTGCTGGTGGTGGTGTTGAGCAACTTGGTAGGCATCCTAATGGGGACCTTTACCAATAGTTGCATGTCTCCCTTCACGACAACAACTGGTCGCTGCCGATCACCTCAACCTCTCGATGGTGATATGCTTGACGACATTCAGGGAGCAGATGAGGTCAATGACCCTCTTGGGCACCCGCATCTCAAAACTATTCCAGGATTAGCAAGCGATAAAGTGTTGTTAGAGCAAGTACTACTTTCAATTTATGATAACAGAAACTTTGACAGAAGCACATAAACAGATAATTGATTTTGTGAAAAGCTGAACCTCAATTTTTTAAATCTCAATTTTGAGACATATTATTGAATACTCTTATTGAATACCCTTACATTCCAGAAACAATTATCAAGGACGATTATCAAGGACGAATATTATTGAATACTCTTACATTCCAGAAACATATTTTGGTCTATACCTCATAATCCTCTGGTTCTAGATTGTTCCCTTGCTCTTAGATCCAACTGCTTCACCTCATTGGCAATAGTAGCCAAGCATCAAGGACATCACACACACCTACACTTGGTAATGTTCCTATAAGATAACTCATATGAGATGCATGGATCAAATAAGTGTTAACTACACAAAGCAGGACAAGGTACAAGACATTTTTCAGAAAAAAAAAGTATAAGATCAGTGTAGTGTCTCTTCTTCTCATAAAACTAAAGGATAAGATCAATGCAGTATAGGCAGGGCAGGAGCAGATACAATACAAATCGCCCAAGTAAATGGGATCCAACAGAGGTAGAGAGAGGTCACCTTGCACCATAGGGAAACTTCCTGGTGGTGGTGTTGAGCAACTTGGTAGGCATCCTAATCAGGCCCTTCACCAACAGCCACATGTCCTTGGCTCCCTGCATGACGACTACGTTGCTGCTGGTCACATCACCCTCTCCATGATGATATGCTTGGCAACATCAAGGAAGCTGACAAGGTCGATGACCCTCTTGTGCACCCAGATCTCAAACCTGTTCCAGGTGTTCGTACCTAATTAGCAAGCAAACAAAGCATTGTTAGACCAAGTACTATTTTCAATTTATGATAAAAGAAACTTCGACGGAAGCACATAAACAAATAACGAATTTTGTGAAAAGTTGAACCTCAGTTTTAAAATCTCAATTTGGAGACATATATAATAAGAATCATATGGAATCAACATTTCCTGGGCACATCATCTAAGTACAACAACTTTATTTTTAGGTTATCCAGATGTTGAATGACTAACAACAAGTAATCTTTTAATAGCTTAAGAGTGAAAATTGTATGCCAATCCTAAATAAAAATGTGCAAGCATACTATAAACATTCAGAGACCACAGTGGAACAAATAACTTGCATTCACTAGCAGTGTTTGGAAGAAGGAAAATTTAGATAGGCTAACCATCATTTAACCATACCGTGATGACAATGCCAAGATAGCCACGGCTCAATGGCTAGCACATATTATCAATGACAAATACTATTGAATACTCTAACATTCCAGAAATATATTTCGGTCTGTACCTCATAATCTTCTGGTTTTAGACTTTTATCCTTTACCCTTAGAGCCAACTGCTTCACCTCACCGGCAATAGTAGCCAAGCCTTTTTTATCTGCATCCTGTATGAACAATACAAGTCAAAGAAACAGATGATATGACGAATAACATCAATTACCAAGTCGAACAACCCACCCTAACTACTGGAACAAACAAACCATGCTTAGACTGAGATCTGTTAATATGTGCAGCAAACAAGATAAGAAAATATTTGTTGAGAAGATGGGATAAAATTTATGTTCGATTGGACACTTACTCAGGAGATCTAATGCAGTTTATGTTCAATTCAATTCCATACAGACTACAAGTATATCAATGTGGAAGATATACAAAGAGGAATACAAATTGCATAGGAGATAAGATGGCAGTGCTAGATTAAAAAAACACTGAACAAAGGAAAGGAGCGACTTCATATTGACTCAGCTTTATGTTAAAACCTCTATATACTGAAATGTATGATAATTTGATCTCATTAGAATAAAATGGGGTGAGGCTGATGCACTTGTCATCCAAAACCAAGAGGGAACAGATTTGTTCAAGTCAACTGCTAAGTAATTCAGCGAAAAGTACAAGGGGCAGTTTCAGTCTAGAGCTATAGCTCTGGTGCTGACTGGTATCCAACTGTCAATTACACAAATATGTTTTTCATTGTTGATTATCGAAGTTTCCTCTATCAACATGACACGAAAGACAATAAGAGAAAATTACAAGGGAGTGGTAGAATGTCTTCCGTACATTGCCATATGCTCTTGAGATCCAACCAAAGCTGCCATTGTCCTCTTCGACCCAGCAGTGTCCATCCGGTATCTTCCGGATATCATGTGTCTCCAGGCAGCCCAATCAGCCTCTTGATCGCCTTCATCCCGGGGTCCATCGGCGACCTGCGTACACACATACATACAGCAGCACCAGGAATAAAGATCCAGTATCATCCGAAAGCATCAGGATTCAGGAAACGCCAAGCAAGGATGCAGAACATAAATAAACAGTGGTATTTCTTCCAATTTAAGCAAGGATGTAGTAGGCAGCCATCACGTATATGCAGAACATAAATAAGTTGAGCAGACCAACATCTAACTTGCTAACGAGTTTGTTTAAACTTTGCTTGACTAGAGACTACAGAAAAAAGCAAGAGACATGCACTTGACGAGCAAGACTGATTTGCTTTGTTGTGCTTCACACACACACACACACACACGCACACACGAGAGTATGTCCTGATTGTTTTACTTGATAACAAAAGACTATGCAAAAATTAAAGAAAGCCTTCAAAAAAAATCAGACATATCAAGTATATGCTTCTTTTCCTGAGCCAGCGAGTAAGCTAGTGAACATTAAGAGCCTCTCTGGGTCCTTTAGAGTATAATAAAGCTACAGATATTATTCTCCTCAAATGTACTTTTCCGGCTAATCACGAACCAATGAGCTCGAATCCGAGGGCAACGTTTGTAGAAATTTATCTAATCTGGACAGCATGATAAGTAAGCTATGGACATGACAGGAGGGGAAGGAAAGAGGGGAGGCATAACTTGGCCGTCTAGGTTCTACAGGCCTGTCAGGGATGCTGCAGCAGTCTCCTAGCTCATCATCGTCAAGGACCATCGCAGCAACGACCTCTCAATCTTCTGGTATAAGTAGAGCTTCACCTGTCTGCAAATAAAAATGTATTTTTTATGGGTCGCTCCAGTCAATTAGCAGGAGAAAAATTGCAACTACAAAAGCAACCCTGAATGTAATAATCCTCGGGTCAAACAACAACAAAAGGTTCGCACACAGGGAAGGAAAACATGCAGCAGCCTTGTAGCTAACACTGCTGGAACTAATCGAGAGGTTCATTCCTCACACAGACTGAATCAGGAGTATCATACTACAAAAACACACAGCCGTTGGAAACAAAAGGTTTATAGCAATATTGCTTTTGCTTTACACACACGTAGAGACAGACCAAGCACTTGATTCATTCCTCAAATGCAAGCCAGGCAGGAGGATTAATTAGCTGATGCTATTATTTACAAACTCCCACCCCACCTGTGTTGTGCACTGCTAGTGAGATTTAATCACACTGCATATATATGCTCAACCAAACATACAGGCCAATTCAAGTTGTGGCCAATGTGCCTCTCGTGAATTGCAATTCACAATCTACTGTGTGAACCACAGCTTGCGAGCAGGAGAACAAAAATATTGAGTACATGCTGATTTGAGGATAACAGAAGAAACCTGTAATTGCATAAATAAAGTACAGACGCTTTGTACCAAGATGAGAACGAGACTCGAAGTAATTTAGAGAAAGACAATTAGCAATATTTACAATTTAGCCAACATACTTTCATGAAGTTTAGGATGATACATGAATGATGAATCAACCCAATTTTCAGACAATGAATTTCAGAGAAGATGAACCAAACCATTGTGCTCCACATGATCGACCAATCAGTGCATAATCAAGCCCTATACTTCTAGACCTGGCTACTGACTGGTCGCTCACGTGGAGAACAAGTACTGTTTGATGCATCTTTTCTGATAAAGCCCTACGCAATCACCCTGGCTCCTGATTGGTGACTTCAACATCACCAGATTCCCCCACGAGCATAATAACAATAACTTTCGCCGATCAGAGGCCGACGCCTTCAACGATACAATCGACCACCTTGCCCTCATAGAGTTGCCTCTACTTGACAGAGAGTTCACCTGGTCAAATAAAAGACAATCCCCCACTCTAATTAGGTTAGATAGAGTGCTAATCAACTTAGCCTGGGATGCTATGTTCCCAAACTCTCACTTAACCTCTCTCACTAGGTTCATTTCGGATCACGTACCACTCCTAGTCACAATATCTACGTCCGTCCCATCTTCCCGCATTTTTCGATTTGAAAAATTTTGGGCCTCTTTTCCAAAATGTGCAGACACTGTGCGTGAATTCTGGCAGCCCACCCCTATTCATCGCAGGCCAACTGACTAGGCCGCCGCCCTCGCTGGGTGTATCAAATCTACTCGCTCGGCTCTAAAGTCTTGGGCCAAAACCCTAAAGCCCATCTATCAACGAGAGACTGACTGTAAACTGGCTATCCAGGCCCTCGATTTGAACGAAGAAATCGCCCCACTTCTCCCGCTCGAACAAAAGTTGCGCCTTACGCTCGCCAACCTACTTCAACTAATTATCAAACAAAAGATCGCCTTTTGGAAACAAAGGGGGAAGGTACGTTTGGCCATCGACGGTGACGAGAACACTCGTTTTTTTCACGCCTCCGCAACCCAACGTTCGAGAACAAATAAAATCCCTATGCTTATCCACAACAACGCAGAAGTATTCCTCCACGAACAAAAAGCACACATTCTAAAAGTTTTTTTCCAACAACTGATTGGCACCACTAAACAGGCAGCATGGAACTTCAGTCTTCTGCAGCTATACCCCTCTCCCCTCCCCCAGCTTCGTGACCTAACACTACCCTTCTCACACGATGAAATCCACCAAGCCTTTCTCTCCATGAACACCAATGCCAGCCCTGGACCCGACGGTTTTGGGCCAATCTTCTTCAGAAAATTTTGGCACATTATCAAACCATCCATCCTACCTTTCTTTGCTGCCTTCCAGGATCAAACATGCTCACTAGAACGCTTCAACCGAGCCTACATGGTACTATTACCAAAAACTCAAGCACCAACGGCCCCTGATGCATTTAGACCAATCTCTCTCCAAAACTGCACGCCAAAGGCTGTTGCAAAAATCCTCACTAACAGAGTTAAGCCTCTAATACCGCTTCTCATTCACTATGATCAGACGGGCTTCCTCCATGGACGTAACATTGCCGAAAACTTCATTTATGCTGCAGACATTCTCAGTACATGCCACACTCATAAAGCTCAAACCATGGTCTTTAAGTTGGATTTCAGAAAGGCATTTGACTCCATAAACTGGACCTCCCTCATCCGCATTCTTACAGTACGTGGCTTCCCCTCCATATTCTGCGACTGGGTCCATGATATCCTCTCCACTGGCAAAACGGCTATCCTTTTGAATGGTGTTCCTGGACCCTGGATACAATGTCGATGTGGCCTTAGACAGGGCGATCCATTCTCTCCATATCTGTTCATCATAGTCGCAGATGTCCTCCAAAGATTAATTGCCAAAGCTTTTCAACCTAACATCCTATGCCACCCTCTAAGACCCAATGAACCTCCGGTGACATTGCAATACGCAGACGATACTCTCATAATCGCTGCTGCTAGCGATGCAGCAACACTGATTCTCAAAAAAACACTCCATGACTTCACTATGGCAACAGGATTGACGATCAACTACCACAAAACTGCTCTTCTCACAATTGCTACGGAACCTGAAACCCAAAAAAACATTGCTGCTACTATAGGTTGCTCAACATCCGATTTCCCACTGCAATACCTAGGCCTTCCACTTTCCCCTTCAAAATTACCGCTGACAGCTTTCGACCCTATCATAGATAACTTTCGAAAGTTCCTCTTTGGCTGGGTGGCGCACCTTCTCTCTAGAGGGGCCAGACTCACCCTCCTGACCGCTGTCCTGGACTCCTTAACGGTCTATTTCATGTCTGTTTTCAAGCTACCAAAATCCATCCTAGCCAAACTTGACGCTATTCGGAGAGCCTTCTTCTGGTCTAACGAGTCTACATGCACTGGGGCAAGCTGCCTTGTCGCGTGGGAAAATGTTTGCAAACCTAAAGATACTGGTGGTCTAGGCATTAAAAATCTTGAGATCCAAAACCGCTGCTTGCTTATGAAATTTTCTTCCAAAATTCTGCAACACCCAGATGTCCCATGGACCCTCTAGTTCAACCAACAACACCCTTTAGGTATTGCTGCAAAAACTTCACGGCCCTCCTTTCTTTGGAGGGTTATCAACCATAACCTACCACTTCTCATTGAGCACACCTTTGTCATCACATACAATGGCCTCTCCACCTTCTTCTGGCTAGATAAATGGCTGCTGCAATCACCACTTCAAAAAGTTTTCCCCAACCTATACTCACACTCCATTGATGACAAGGTTTTAGTGGCTACTGTCTGGCAAACCAGCTTATTAACGAACCTGCGGAATCGTCTATCTAATGCTGCTGCTCGCGAGCTGGATTGCGTGTTGTTGTTGTTGCAGGATTTCCAACAGGTCGACCAACCGGACAAACGGTCGCTCACACATGGTCTGCCGTTCACAGCAAAGAACGCATACTCCACTATTGTTGCTGAAGACTACATCGACCCATATCACGACCTTGTTTGGGCCTCTAAAGTCCCGATCAAGGTCAAGATCTTCGCCTGGCTACTCCTACGCGATCGGCTAAACACGAAGGCCAACTGATTTCGCAAGCACATTGCTCAAACAGCTGCATGTCCCCGCTGTCAAGACCCTCATGAAGATGCGCTTCACCTCATCTCCTGCTGCTCTTATGCTACACAAGTATGGGCTGCCTTGGGGTTGCACGCTCCAACCTCTCTCGAAAACCTGCTTCAACACCAAACGCTTCCAGGCCTCAACCCCAACATCTGGCCATCCGTCGCGCTCACTATATCTTGGAAACTTTGGGACTCAAGGAATGCACTAGTCTTCAGAAACGAGGATCATTCTCACAGAACCACGCTTCGCAACATTGTAAATGACTTCTCTCTCTGGGTGTTTAGGTTCAAAAAGAAGGAGGACAAATTATTCGCTAAGCAATGGCTGTACTTCCTATCCTCAGCTACATCCTAAAAGGCTGATGTAGTAACTTATCTCTGTTGTAATTCTCTAAAACCCTTTTGAGTGGTAATATATTCAGGTGGGACCCCGGTGACCGTTCAAAAAAAAAGGCTGCAAAAATTAAAGAAAGCATTAAAGTTTGCAATCAGCAGGAGAAATATTGCAATCACAAACGCAACCCTGAATGTGATAATCCTCAGGTCAACCGGCAACAAAAGTTTG